CCGCCCCTCTACGCAAATAGTGTATAGCATCTGGTATATCAAGCTTGTGGACCCTCTAGAGGTCAATTTTTTATCCGATTTTGATGAGAGTTGAAATACATGTTTATAACCCAAAGATCTTGGTTCCTTTCCATATTCGCTCGTATCGGATTGTAACTTCCTGAATAAGGGCCATTGAATGTACAAAAAATCCCGTTTTGATATTTGCTTTTTCAGACCATAACTTTCTGGATTATTGCCCCTGATTGTACAAAAAACATTTTTGTTTTAAGCTTGTTCTCTATCCATCTCTTACAAAATGTGGGCGTATCCTGTCTGGCAGCCGCTGGTTATTTTAGAAATCACAGTCAGGAGAACTTGTTAGGTTCGCCGATATTTTATACCTTTTGTTTAGATATCTGCTTCCACTAAGCTTTTTACTTAGATACATTCACACATATATTGTATCTTTGTAAACAGCTACACCCAAAGTCAATGTTGCTCTTCGTCAACAATCAGTACAGCAGAGTACTGTGGGTGGAATCGCCCCTAGAGCTGTAGATGGTAATACTAATAGTGATTTGTCTAATGGATCATGTACATATACAACAGGAGGGCGGTCTGGTTGGTGGTGTGTTGATTTACAACAGTTGTATTATTTCAACCAAATTAAAATATACAACAGACAAGACACGAGATGTAAGTACATAATATTTAAACGTATAATCAATATTTTTAATTCATCAAATAGAACAAAAAACGTTGAAATGATCTGCAAAATGAGATAAATATAAGTATGATTTGGTAATAAAAATTAGAGCATTGGAGTTTTTTTTTATAAGAATAAGAACAACATTAAATATGTTTTTCAATCGGAGGAGATCTATTGATAATTCGTCCAATGAAATAACGCCTTGAGTTTATTTACTCATGTGGGTCAGTGCCTCATAAACGTTATAGGTTTCTACCTGGTTGTTAAACTAGTAATACTGTCAATTGTGGAGCTATTGCCATTTTCTCTACGGACACCACAGTGGCCCCGCCCCGTAAGTAAGATGTTGGCTCCGTGTTCGATCCCTGTGTTGACCGAGAAAGTAAACATATATTCGTTCGGATGGGACGAAAAACAGAGGTCCCGTGTACACCATGGCGTGTACGTGGCGGATCACTTAAAGATACATTATGGAAGATTCGATAACGAGTTGGCAGTTCTCACTATAATAGTTAAAAACTAGATACTGTAAAGGCAATTTGCTGAAAATTTCATTCAAATTGATCCACTATGAACCGAGAACTAAGCGGTTGAAATTTCCGGCTAGCCTTTGGTCATCATTACTAAAGTCAGTACGATAAACATTATAGTCTCGATTATCCAATTAATCGTGAAGTAAAGTTATGCAGTAAATCGGCTCATAATCCACTAGAGATCGCAGACTAGCGATGCCATCTAGAGTTGATTATAGTCTGGAGAGTTTAATTAATGTCTAATTAATAATTAAGATAGCATTTCAGGTAAAAAGAAAGACCTGCAATAGACAGATTTAGCTCTTGCATAATATATGTTTAACAGTCAGATCAGCGCTCACGCTGTCGATCGCCATTGCCGTCAATTGCGATAAAAATATAATTTTGGCGATGAAATATTCGATCTGGCGAAATTTTTGGCGATAACTTTTTCCTGTATGGTGATTCTTTTTTTAAACACAAAGCTCTTGCCACAAAGCTTTATTTCCACGCCGTGCATACACGTTACAGTCTATTGCGTTTGGCTGAGTCAGTTATCAATCAATTAGAGATATCTTTTGTCTCTTGATCAATCTCGGATTAGTGTTAATTAGTATTTACAGTAAGAGTAGTTATAAACTAATTAAGAGACAAAAGATTTAATTATTTGTCTTCAAATACGAATCGGTGGATATTTTGACGGTTTCTACATATTCAAAATGGCGGACAATGTGAATAATACTCGTTCGATTTGTTTGGGAATATTGAATTATGACCTCTGTTTAATCTTTTTCTTACTCCTGTTCCCCGTATCCTTAATAAATGAAGCCAGGTTTGTTTTTACAGTTTATAATTGCGTCTATATATATTCTCTGGGTTGTCGAAAGTCAGTTATCATCAAATCACATATGCCATGGGTCGTAAGCGAAAAATTGAACTTCCTTCGTCAACGTCCGATAGAAGAATGTCAGATTATTTTAGTATGTCACCACCAAAATGCTCCAAGTCTACAGATGATACTGACATGATCAGCTCTTGTCCATCTAATAGTATTACATCCTTGAATGTTGAAGCGATATCAACTTCTACAATAGATCTGTATTTAGGCTACGGTATCTCAAAAGTTCGCGACAAAAATTTCGAAAAAGAAAAATCTTAAAGAGGCATTATGGGAGATTAGATAAAGAACCGACAGGTCTCACCACAATAGTTAAAAATGGATTAACCCAGATCTTGAAAAAGCTTTCAAAAAATGGGCTTCTGCAAAGCAGAGAAGAATTTTGTAAATTGTAATATCATAAATTTTAATATGTTTATTGTATGTACTTATGTAAAAACAATATACTGAAAAAAATCTAATAAATATTTGTTCTTCATTTTGGCGGAGAAGATATATGGCTAATAAATTAAAATGAAAATTTGGCGGAAAAAAAATGAAACTCAGAGTGATCACGGGTCAGAATTCGATATGAGAGTAAAGTCTGTCGCGCTCAAAGCACACTGTCGAAGCAGAACAATAAGGAGAGAGAGCGAGAAAGAGAGAGAGAGAGATGGGTTTAACGTCCACTCGACACAAACTAGGTCATTTCGGAACTAACATGGTCTCAGTTTAATTTCAATAATTCGCTTGCACGTAGGGGTCTTTAGCAGCGCTCACCATTCAGGCCCCCCCCCCCCAAACATTAGGACGTTAAACCCCATTTCATTTCATTTTCAACACACATGGAAGTGCCATCGAATATAGATTGGACAGAAAGCTACATCACAATACATGTACTTGTCAGACATCGCAGATTATGTTTCACTGATATAAACTCAATAAAGTAATATTGGAAAATAAATTACATACTGTAATTCTAGGCAGGGCTAAAGACAGTCATTGTGAATCATTTGACTATTACCGAAACTGTTGGTAGATAAGACAATTATCAGGGATATTCAAGCTCTACGTGTAGATTTGGAAGATGTTAGAGAATTTAGTACGAGGCAACACACGATTCTCGGGATTTCATTTTCTAATCCCCATGCTATACCAAATAATTTCCATTTGTGTGTTAATATATATAATTAATAATAATCATCCTTAATATATGTTTTGAATGTGTCAATTATTGACTCTGAGAGATTTTAACGAGTCCGAACGATGCCAAAAGAGAGAGATTCCACTATACAATAGTACAATTAATTGTTCTTTGGATTTTTGTCTATCCGTTGAGACCCTTTTCTGTTGAATGTTGCTGACTGGGGATCGTGTTTTTTCAGCTAGTTAGAATACAACCCTTTACACTTTCACTGGTGGTAAGAATCGGTTGTCCTTGATTTCCTATTCTGTTTTTTTTACAGGGTGGTGGAGGATTTAAAATACGGACAAGTTCTAATGGCCAGTGTAGTGAACTAGGATATTAATCAGCTACATCATGTTATAAAGATACAACATCAACAATACAATCTGTTTATACCGTAACTGGATGTAATCAAGGTTCATCTACATCATTTTCTGGTAGAATTGTCTATGTGTCAAGCGTTAACGATGCCCTATCATTGTGTGAAGTTGAAATATTTGCAAGTACGTGACGTAATTATATGCTACATTACGATTGCTGACGCTAGTTTCCAATTCTTTAAACGAGAAATCAAGTCATTTGGAAGGTTTACTAGTTTTATCAAGACCAATTTAAAGATGCATTAAAAATAGTTTAAAAACAAATAATAAGAAATATATGGAACAGTTCGGGCTCAGTTTTAATTGCTACGGTTGTTACGATAGTAAATAAACATATTAAATGGGATTGTGTTTCAATAAGTTCAAACTCTTAACCATCCGATGGGCTATGCCAAATGAAAGGCCTGTACTAGGTAGATTTAGCTATAAAGAAATGTCGCTACACTAAACAGTTACCAACCCATAATAACACTCTATTTTGACCCAATTCAAATGTACAACATGTAGTTAGCTCGTTTAAGTTATATAGAGAGTTCTATAACGATACGAATACCCCTACTTTAAGCTAACGCATTGAAAGTTTTGTAACTCGGCTTAAAGTTACATTAAATCTGCCTATTGCAGATCTGTTTTGTTTTTGTTTTTTGGGGGGTTTTGGGGGGTTTTTTGGCATCAAAAGTAATTTGAATGACATTTTCAAAATATTTGTTTGTCGTTATCTATTTTTGAGCTATTATAGAAAGAACCTCCAGCTCTTTAACTAATAGATGCATAATGTATCTTTAAGTAACCGTTTATACGTTGGAGAATACTTTCTACTTCTATACTCTAATTATGGTAGAGTAGAATTATATATTTCCAAGCTCTTTATTTCCATATATATGTCCAGAGAGGACTATGTTCGGTAACAACACTTTTCAGTCAAAACTGGTCATTTTTCAAACAGTGATCAGAAGTGTTTCGAACAAAATCGCTATTTTCATAAAAAAATTTGGGAATGCTTAGATTAATTTAAGATGTATTTTCCTCTTCAAAATTGCAAACAGTGACACATAAAAATACAATAAAATTACATGTTACTAACATTTAGTAAAATATAAAACAGGATACTGCAGTGTATCAAATACAGCACAATAACATTATATGGATATTTAATTAAATGTAATACCACATACCACAGAACAATAAATCATTGTTCAAATGACATATTTCATCTATATTACAGATCTAGCACAATGTAATTCTGGTTACTACAGTACATCAAGTTCTACATGTCAGCCATGTAATACATGTTATAATAATACATGTGATCCTACAATTGGTGTTTGTACGGGGGATTGTAAAACAGGTTTTTATGGTACAAAATGTCAACAGAACTGTAGTAATGGTTGTTTAAACAATCAATGTTCTAAATCTAATGGTAGATGTAATGAATGTAAACCTGATACCGTTGGCCCATACTGCAACCTAACATGTGGTGCAGAATGTCAACCAATGCCAGACCAGAATACGACCACTTGTGATAGAACTGGTAGATGTAATAATTGTCATATAGGAAGATATGGTGATGGATGTGATATGAACTGTAGTACAGGATGTGATGCTGGGTGTAATAGGCGTACTGGTAGATGTACTAATAATTGTATTATGGGACGGTATGGTAATGGGTGTGATAACAACTGTAGCATAGGATGTGATGCTGGGTGTAATAGGCGTACTGGTAGATGTACTAATTGTATTATGGGACGATATGGTAATGGATGTGATATGAACTGTAGTATAGGATGTGATGCTGGATGTGATAGGGGTACTGGTAGATGTACTAATTGTATTTTGGGACGGTATGGTAATGGGTGTGGTAACAACTGTAGTACAGGATGTGATGGTGGATGTGATAGGGATACTGGTAGATGTACTAATTGTATTATGGGACGATATGGTAATGGATGTGATATGAACTGTAGTAAAGGATGTGATAGTGTATGTGATAGGGGTACAGGTAGATGTACTAATTGTATTATGGGACAATTTGGTGATGGGTGTGATCTGAACTGTAGTGCAGGATGTGACGGCGGATGTGATAGGAGTACTGGTAGATGTACTAACTGTCGTATAGGAAGATATGGTTATAGATGTGAAATGAACTGTAGTACAGGATGTGATGGTGGATGTGATAGAAATGATGGTAAATGTACGTCGTGTATTGAGGGCACAACTGGAGACAGATGTGATATCAACTGTAATAATAATTGTACTATTTGCAATCAGAATAATGCCAACTCTTGTACTGAATGTATAGATGGAAGATGGGGACCATCATGTAATAAACTATGTAATACTAACTGTAAACAAGTAGAAGGTACAACTGTTGGTAAATGTGATCAGATGACAGGAAATTGTATAAATGGATGTGTACCTGGTAAAATAGGATCAAACTGTACAACAGGTAAGTTTATATATATTCTACTTTTATTTGAAAATAATTGAGTTGAATTTGTTTAAACATAAATGACAAAATTTCTCGAACTCATTAGCTCTTCGTCAACCTATGTTTTTGGTAATACAGTAAATAATGATTGTAGCTCTTAGAAGGATTATATATTCAGATGACAGGATATGGTAATGAAAGGTGATTGTATAAATGTATATGGTAATAATAGGAAATTGTATAAAGATGTTTATATATTAAAATATTACCTGAATCGTATACATGGATATGGTATTCAGATGACATAATATGGTAATGATAGGTGATTGCATAAAGGTATATGGTAATGATAGGAAATTGTATAAATATATATGGTAATGATAGGAAATTGTATAAATATATATGGTAATGAAAGGAATTTGTATAAGAGATATTTACATATTAAAATATTACCTGAATTGTATACATGGATATGATCTGACTGGTTACAATACTAGTAGGCATTGTATCCCTAGTTTATTTACCATTATGTTACCGATTTAAGTTATAGTTGAACTTGTGCTTTATTAAACAGAAATTAAGCTGGCACCTGTTATTTTAATAATACTGCATTCGCCATATGCATAAAAACGTGAGAAGTCTCTGCGAAATCTCCACGTTGATAACATATAAGTACATAGTGTATTAAAATTCATATCGCATCCATTATCACATCGTGTATTACAATCCATATCACATCCATTACCATATTTCCCTATAATACAGTTATTACATCTACCAGTATCCCTTTCACATTCACCATCACATCCTGTACTACAGTTCATATCACATCTATTACCTTATCGTTCCATAATACAGTTAGAACATCTACCAGTATCCCTATCACACCCACCATCACATCCATGTTATGTGTATCATCTGCTGTGAGATCTAATGTATCATACATATTTCTCGTATTGTCTTCTGTATTAAACAACTGGTTTTCATATACTACATTACGTGTATTAGTGGGAATATTTTGATATCCAGTGGTTAATATTTCAAAAGAATTGTCATTTGGAGACTGACTTTCATTTGCTTGACATTCAGTAATAACTTCCCGCTATATTCTGTTGTTGGTGTTTATGTGGTCCACACAGTAAAATAATTTTGCAGAGTTTAGCCTGTGTTCACTACTTCTTGGTCAAAATTAATCTAAAACTGCGTACTTAATTTATTTTGTGTATATTATAATGGACGAATATTTGTATAGAGCGAAAATGAAAAATGTCGACACCTGGTTATACATTGGCAAACCAAGCTTCATGAAAATCGAATGATCAAAAGTAGTCTTCAGTGCGTAACTAATAACACAAATGGTTGATGGTAGCAAAATATATTATGAATATTTGTCTTGTATTAACAGATTGTGAAGCAGGTCGTTACGGTGACAACTGTGACAGTAAATGTGGTAACTGTGCTAATAAAAGACCATGTGATATAATTACTGGTGGTTGTGGACTCGTTGGTTGTGAAGATGGCTTTCAAGGTCTAGTCTGTAAGGGTAAGTTACATTTACACAATTTTAAAGAAAACATTATTTGTATACTGTACAGTTTTTACCTACGATTGATAATCTCGGTATATGATTACAACACGGCCAGCTGAAATACATGTAGACTGGAATTTTACTGTCATTCATTGGAATCTAAGAATACAATTATTATGTCTGTCTAAAAACGAAATATTTTTTTTCCGATAAAAAAATAGTATATTTTAAGATAAGGAAATAATATATTTCTATAATCCGAGGACCGGGGGCCGGGGGTTCTTATGGTCCAACACGTGCGCGTGAAATCATTGAATCAAGTGGCGTGGTTTCGATTCCCCGCTTGAACGTGACGAGGAGTATGGTCATCTGTCCAACATCGTGGGTTTTCTCCGGTTTCCTCTCACTGCTAAAGAGCCCTGCGCGTAAAATAAAATTGAACCATATGTTAGTCCGGAAATGACCTAGTAAGTGTCGTGCGCACGTTAAACTCTCTCTCTCTCTCTCTCTCTCTCTCTCGTTTTTATATTGCGAAATAACTTAATGGTGCAATCATTAATATAGGATTACCTGTTTTTACCTGTCTGCTAAAGTACATCATTAAATCCTGTTGCAATATCATTATTATTTAACAGACCGTTTGCCTTGCTGTGCATGTACAGCGGTAAGTCCTGTTGTAAGTGGCGTCATTGGTGCTCTGTGTGGTATACTAGGCTCGGTAGCGGTCTTCCTGTCATATCATTTCTACACGAAAAGGTAACATTTACTAATTACAAGTTGTTTTAAAATACACACAGCGAGTATATATCCTAATCTACCTTGCATTGCACTGTGTTATAAATCAATCAATGGTGGAATGAAAGAATCGAGTAGCCTTGTCAAGTAGACTTTAACCTGTTGTATATGCTTAAATTTTAATGAGGTCACATATTGCCGTCATCAATGTGTGTCGGTCGGAACGTTGCTCACAATTTTGGTTAGCTAGCTGAACAGAGGCTACAATAATATATTGATTTAAAGGCTTTCCACAGAATGGTGTTCCTTTGTTGTGCAAACTTCGTAGGTTGCAGCCTATAGTTTATTGTTAGATATCAGTTATCTTATAAAATGATTGGAATATATTTCAGGCGTCAATCGAATAACCCAAAGGACGACACTGTTCCTGATTATGTTTACAGTAATACAGATTTAAACCCGACTTGTTCTACAACAGATGATACATTAACCACTGTATATCAGAATATTCCAACTAATACACGTGATGTAGAATATGAAAACCAGTCGTATAATACAGAAGATAATACGAGAAATACCTATGATACATTAGATCACCAATCAGATCGTACCCCAAATACATATACATCTGTATAGTTTCTGACAAAATCAAATAGATCTAATCATGTATATTGTATATAAACATATACATCATATATAACGAAACATTTTATTAATATTTTATGCATTTAAAATTATTTTTGATTCCCATTTACCCCCTGAACGATGTAGTCGTTTCTCTCATAGACATATGAGGTGTCTAAACCATACACCAGACGAGGCTCTCCGGTAAGGAATTAGAATATCAGTAATATTGGCACTCGATCTCAACAACAACAACCCGAGTGTGACGGTATTTAAGTATCAATTAGATTCAATTGTTTATAAATTTTATTATTAATAATTAACTATAATTTAACCGTAAGCCTGTGATAAATTGGTCCATACTTTACAATAATGGTTCCTGTCTTATATATCGGTAGGTCTTATCTGATAGTTGTAGGATTCGTGTGAGAAATTCGAGTGCCAGATAATGTGCGCTACAAAGAAATTCATCGAAACAGGAATACCCCCTTGAGGTAATAGAAACTGGAATAGATAAGATTTTGGCAATTGATATTCAAACATCAAGACAGTTCGGGTAATATCATTAACATTTTCGCTACCCATAGCCCAGACATTCCAACTTCTTTAAAACAATGCACGAGAACGGGACAATCATGGCATTAAACGACCACCTCACAACGAAATTTGACAATGTCCAATGTATTAAATCACAAAGACAGCCACCCAAACTATTCTCAATGTATTAAATCACAAAGACAGCCACCCAAACTATTCTCAATGTATTAAATCACAAAGACAGCCACCCAAACTATGCTCAATGTATTAAATCACAAAGACAGCCACCCAAACTATGTTCAATGTATTAAATCACAAAGACAGCCACCCAAACTATGTCCAATGTATTAAATCACAAAGACAGCCACCTTATCTGAAACGTTTCCAATAATCAGTTAGGTGTATACTATGTAACAAGATCCATCAATTAACTCTATGCACATTATGTAATACCATTTCATGTCACTATGCAAATAAGTTCCTATATGAATATCATAACAATTAAGGTGTTTTTTCAACACTCTCTTTAAGCTCTTTGATGTCCAGAGACATATCTTATGGCTTCACCCATCATCTATGTTTTATGTTTTCATTAATTCCTCTTTACCCTTTATCCGCTGTTGTTACTATACTATGTGCTATCATAATTAATCTTAGCATACTTAATTTGATAACCCAATCAAGCTAGGGTTTCATGATTGTTAACTTATGGTTTCTCTTATCATTGTTCAATGTACGTATATATAACACTGTCTTCCTCATTTGTAAAATGTATGCTTGATAACGACCAGTGAATTCTTGTCGAAACGTCGTGTGTATATAATATAGTGATTGTTATCCATAGAACTGTGTTGTGTTATATTATGTTCAATCGCTAAATGCCATTCAAAGATTATACTCTTTGTCTTTATTTAATGGAGACAACGCTTCAATATATAAAATAAAAAAAAATAACGGACAGTTGTCTCCAAATGCACGGATTGTTAACAGAGTTATTCCCCTTGTCACTAAACTTCGTAAAATCACTCGATGATAAAAAAAAAACCTAATCGTATAACGATACAATAAGTGGAAATTTAAGGAACAGTTTCAGAAAATGTATTGGTTTTGTTTAGAACTACCTGTAATCAGGAAAATATCTATCAAAATTTCGTGGCCATTCAAACCTTCTAACAACTTTAAAGATTAGCCCGTTTAACATGAAGATATCCGTTATTACATCACAACATACAATTGTTGACTGGACTTTCCATAGATATGGTTGTTCATTGTTAGATTACATTTAGCTCTAGAGACATAACGTATGTTCACACGAGCCACGGATAATTCAATATCGTTTTGGGGTTTTTTTTGTGTGTGTGGGGGGGGGGGGGGGCTGGTCGAATGCGAAATTGACTAAAATCATATAGTCGATCATTTTCTTGAGTTGCTTAACTTTTGTTAGATTGTTTTTCCATTTTGGGTGAAGATTGTATCACCACCAACTCCGGATTCTACTGCGCAGTGGGGGCTTACGGCTAGCCCGCGGATCCATTTACTCAATCTGATATGTGTGTTAATGATTTGTGGTGTCTGTATATGGCGTCCTGTCCGTAGGTTTGTCCTGTGTATTTGTTTGTATGAGGTGCGGTCTCTGTGTACCAACAGATTATAAACAGGAGTATTATGTGAATTTGGGGGGTTGGATGGCTGAATGGTTAGCGTGCGTGCGCGCGCTGTATCATAACGTCTGTCATTGAGTCGACTGGCGTTGTTTCGAATCCGCGGTTGTACGTGACAAGGAGTAGGGTCGCCTGTCCAACCTCGTGGGTTTTCTCCGGGTCCTCCGGTTTCCTCCCACTGATAAAGACCCCTATGCGCAAGCGAATTATTGAAATAAAATTAAACCATGTTAGTCCCGAAATGACCTAGTTTGTGTCGAGTGGACGTTAAACCCCATTTGTCTCTCTCTCTCTCTCTCTCTCTCTCTCTCTCTCTCTATTATGTGAATATAAAATCGAGGTGTTAGCCACTTGCTCATTTGTTCAGATAATTTTATTTGAATTTCATCTTATTCGTTCATGTATTGAAATCGGGGTCGCAATTATTTACTCTCTGCCGTAAAATATTGAATGTTTGGTGGCAATATTTAGGTTCCACTATATCTTGGCTGTAACAGTAAATGTTTGTTTATATTAGCCAAGTTCCATTGTGTTCTGACTGTAACAGTTAATATTCACTGGCTTATACCCGTCACCTCCACTTCACACATAGTCAGATATTCTGTTGGTTTGGATATCCTGATAAACCTGCCCACTGTTTTCTCATCACATTCAAATGTTCTCACGGTACACCCAAACACTCCTGGTATAAATATACATAGTTTAGAAGTTGGATTACCAACAGATGGATCTGTATCATACACCGTTACAGTCACATTAGAAAACCGTTCACCAACAACTGAAATAAATACAAAAACAACTCCAGATTAAAGGGGTTCGTTTTATCTTTTACGAGAAGAGCCCTTTCTTTCAATCGCAAAGATAGGTTTAAATTTGCTCTAACAATGACATGCACGCCTTGGGATAATAATACTAACACTAACTATAATATGGTTATTTTTAAAGCACGTAAATAGTTTAGTTAGGCGAATGCCAACTGCCTACGTACCAAACTTAGGCTGTTTGTCTACAGTTAGCTCCGCTTGACAACAGCCACTAAGCTAGTTGCCCGATATTTTAAGTCCTAAATCGACGATTTTAGTCAAAAATAAGAAGTATAGTTCGAGAATTTTGTGACGCATTTATTCTGCTTCCGTGCAATAAAATTGAAAAAAGTTTATATAGTCTTTGTGTATATGACAGATGGGAAACGGAGTAGAACCGCATGACAAAACACTATACTAATTTTGGGATATGGTGGCCATTTACGGCAGAGATCCTGGATCCACCGATGTCTTCCCACTGGTAAAGGCCTTATTGAAATAATATTGAAGCATAGGTCAGTACGGAATGACCTACATTGCGTCGAATGGAAGTTCCCACACACCCCTCTCTCTGTGTCTTGGTCTCTCTCGCTCGCCTTGCGTCGTCTCGGCATCCACGACTGGTAAACATATTAATGCAGTTTAAAAGCACACTGTAATTAAACATATCCCAAATGCTAAATGGAGTTAACATCGTGGTTACATTTGATTCCACCATGACAAATATGCATAATTTATTTTATCTAACTGCAAGTGGGAGAGATCTGAATGTTACTAAGGTGACTTACTTAGTTTATCATCATATCTGTTAGATATAGTTATACTTGTGATGTCATACATCCATTCTAGATCAACTTGCCACCATGGATTGAAGTCACCGGAATTAGAGCATTGACAACTCGTTGACGAAATAAGGTTTCCATCTTTGTTTCCGTCAACGGCCTCACTAGATTGTTCTAGGACTGCATTATGTGTTGAGCTCTGATAGGTTGGTTTTCCGAAAGCAATGTTACCACCCCCTGCAAAATAATTTGAACCAACGTCTTACTCACTGAGTCACAGGGTCCCCCTAGAATCGCTCAAAACCTTTCGGCGAGAAAAGTAGTAACTCCGCAAATAAAATGTTGCGCCTTTTGAATTTTCTAAAGCGTTCTTCCTAAGTGCTAGCCGGACAATGTCAGCTACCAAAACCAGTAAATGAAATGAAATGGTGTTTAACGTCCGGACAGCGGCACTACGACCTACTTGCAGTTGACATTTCGTTCCATCCGAACGACTATACAATGTCCCTTGTCGGGCCAAAAAACCAGTACAGAATTGTTGACGAATCCCGTAACAGACCGGGGAAAAGAGATGACCACAATAATGGTGAAATGTTTTTAAAATATCTGATCTTACCTGGCAATGTCTTACATTCATAATGTTGATTACATGTGTTAATCGCTCCATTCACTAAAATAAAGTTGAAGTATGGACAATGAGAACAAAGCACATATTTGTCACTTGCTTCATTGACCAAAATAATGCAGCGACTTAATAAGCGAGGCCAAATATACCCCGCAAGTGAATAATTTTTCAACAATTCAGATTAGATTTCAAGACATTAACCACACATTATAAACCCCAACATCTAAAATCGTGGTCTAATAGGTGTACACTCATAACAGAAAGAGTCTAGACTACTTACCAGGTATACCGTATATTTCCACTCCACAAAGAGTTAAGAAATTTGACTTTTGGATAGAAAGCTTCACAAATCTACCATAGACGCCATCGTTACACCTGATGATATTTTTCCTGTATTGTAATCAACCACCGAGGCACAACAATTGGATTCTGAAGAGTTGTTTACCGTTGGATCAGAATCGTAGACTTCGTAATTAACGTCGTGGAGGCGTTCAGCTGGAAAGAAACAAATGCTGTTTAATAGCCGAAAGCGTTGTGGTGCACCAACATTGTATCTGTGTACACATTGGCGTGCACGTAAAAGATCCCTTAAACACGGGAATTTGATTTACGAGTAGGCTATAGTGCCGCTATCCGGGCAAAAGGTTCCCCAAAGCACATGACGCATGCTTGCCATCATTAACTCAGTCGCTGCATAACAGTAGGATGTTAAATCTCATTTTATTTGATTTCATAGCAGTCAGAGAACACAAACATTGTAGACATTCACCTGGATAACATGCACTACCTAATCAGCCTTTAAACATCCAGACGTTTAGCCACCCAACCCCGCACCTTTACCTGGAACATGGAATACAGGTCGAGTGCATAAGTTAGTTTGAACATCTGTTCATACCATCAAACCCCAGTACGAAATATCTGTTTCAGGGAAGAGCGCGAGTAAAAATCCTCTGAGTCTGGTTTTATGAGGGTACCGGATTATATTCCACTCCCAGGCGCTGCAAATCTTTTAAAAAATAAAACTGACTCTATATGGTGTTTTGTAGATCCAGATTGCTCTAATATATGCACAAATTTAAATTAAAACTTAAAAATAACAAAAGAGTCAGCAACTAGCTCAGAATATCAAGTCTTTAGGGACCCCGAGCATACCTGTGGGTTTTATGAGGGTACCATACTCACAGTCTCCTTCTCAGTCAAGCCATGACCCCGAGCTTACCATACTAACAGCCTCCTTCTCAGTCCAACCGAGACCCCGAGCTCACCATACTCGCAGGTTCCTTCTCAGTCCAGCCGTGACCCCGAGCTTCCCATACTCACAGGTTCCTTGTCAGTCCACCCGATACCCCCGAGCTTACCATACTCACAAGCTCCTTGTCAGTCCACTCGATACCCCTAGCTTACCATACTCACAAGCTCCTTGTCAGTCCACCCGATACCCCCGAGCCTTCCATACTTACAGGCTCCTTGTCAGTCCACCCGATACCCCGAGCTTACCATACTCACAAGCTACTTGTCAGTCAACCCGATACCCCCGAGCTTACCATACTCACAAGCTCCTTGTCAGTCCACCTGATACCCCCGAGCTTACCATACTCAACGGATCCTTCATAGTCCAGCCGAGACCCCGAGCGTACAATACTCGCAGGTTCCTTTTCAATCCAGCCGTGCAAATATCTATACTTACGATACAAATCGTCATTGTACACCAATATCAAACGAATTAGAAATGTTTCCATCAAATCAACAAGGAACCAGGGTTGATAATCTTCTTTCTGTGTTTGAAAACAGGTACTCGGATCGTTATCTAGAGCTGCATGGATTGGTTGTAGACTACCAACAGAGCTTGTTGATGACGGTTTTAGACTGGCAAGATTACTGGCATCTGTAAATAATAATGAATTTAGCTTAAAGTCCCGATGCGCCATTTTAAGCAATATTATAAAGCTAAAACGGTAAATCGTTTTGATCTTTGGGGTATATTCTTGCGATCTGAAAGTCAGGGGCAGCTTTGGATATACACGGGGGAATTTGGTGTTATTCTTCTGAAACTTGTTCTTTAAACCTGTAACGGGTTATTCTTCCAGGGTAGTTTTTTCCATGTAAGAAAACATGATATAAGGCCAACTGGAATTCTGTGATATTCTCATTTTACGTACATGTAAACATAAACGGTTTATAAGCAAGACAAAGTCCTCAACTTCGGTTATGCAGGGGAAGAAAGACTTCAGAAAAAATCCCTCGACAGAAAAACCTCGTGTTATTTTCCTCAGGTTTTCTTTCCTCAGTATAACCTCAGCTTCGTGCTTAATCCTGTAGATCAGTCAATTTAGAATTTTATCTCTAACAATTGCAAGACAACATTTTAAAGCATATTTGTGTTTATTTTGGTTTACTTTATGACATAACGAAAGTTTTCTAGATTTCGCATACCGGAAAGCTGTAAAATCTAAGATGTACAAGAAAATCCGAAACTGTTGATTTAATAGTAAGCGCAGGGGGTGGGGGTGGGGGCGGGTGGCAGCACCATACATAATTTACATAAAAAAATTCTACGGACATAAAACAATATGCAGAAATCACAAACAAACGAACATATCAAATTAAGTGACTGGAACCGTTGTTTAGCCGTACGCGTCCACTGCGCTGTACAGCTCCGGGCCTGTAGTGACACAGCCTTCACTCAAATTTGAAAACAATCAGGAATATAAAATGACCTAGTTTTTGTCGAATGGACGTTAAATCCCATTTCTCGATCAGTTAATGAAGAGCGACACCATGCGTTTTACAAATCATAGATGGCAGCACGCTTCATTCTGTGTAAAGCAAATTGGTAAATAATTTCTTTCACGTCTATTTGCTAGTCAGGTTTCACTCGACATCAGGTTATGGGGAATGGGAATCCACCCAAAAAATGTATATACTAGTTATGTCACTATGTGATGAAATAGGGCAGAGTTAAGAATACTGACAAATTTAGGTTCACGGTCACATGTTTTGGGGTAGGTCGATCATACCATAAAAATGGTATAAGAAATTAATATAAAGTCGAATTTGTGTCTTCAGTCGCAGGTTGTGAGGGTAGGGGTATCCCCGAAAATGGAATAAGGGTATAAAATCAAGGAGGCAGAATAAGTCCAGGAAATGTCTAAAATCAGGCGATACGTTTCAAGTCAGTAGCTTGAAGCGTATATATGGTATTAGTGTCAGTGGCCTGTGGCACGAAGTAACAGTATATTGTCGCATACATAATATATTATGTCAACGCTTGGGCGATATAATATATTATGTCAACGCTTGGAACTAGGATGGAGGTGACTAGGCATGAACTTGCAACGATAGATTTAATTGGCGCTTTGATAACCAATGAATGCTTTGGAGACATATTTTGGCGGTATTTTCCATCAAGGAATCGGTAAGTTTCGATTGTTTTTTTCTTTTCTGTTTTTTCTCTCTTTTCTGTGTCCTAACCCTAACCCTAACCCTAATCCGAAAGAAAAGTGCCCTTTTTTGAAATTCTGACATCACAGGTGCCCTTTTTCTGATAAGGATGCCCTCTTTTATTTACAGGGACACTTTCTATTGTTAAGGGGGTGGACCGGTCCCCATGGTCCAACCCCTGGATCCGCTCTGATGACGCGTACATTCCACTGAGTCTACAGGTCTAATATGCTAACACGCTTGGAGCGTCAACACAATATATTATGTCGCCCAAGCGTTGACATAATATATTATGTATGCGACAATATACTGTTACTTCGTGCCACAAGCCACTGACACTAATACCATATATACGCTTCAAGCTACTGACTTGAAACGTGCAGGGTGCTAAAATACATGTTTTGTGTTTGCAAACAAAGGCAGGAACAATTAATCATAAAACCAGTAAACTCTGTACAGTGTTCTGTACATTTATTCACATGTCCATATAGGGGACCACCAAAGCCCGATGTTACCCCGGCGTCACATCGACCAGAGTTTTCAAAGAAAGATAAATTCACTAATGCCAACCATTTATATGTGTTCTACTGGTTAAATCAATCCCAAATATCAAGCAGATGTTGTTAATGCTTAACTGAAGGTTATGTTGTGGACCAATTCTAATGATTAACTTTCAGCCTTTAGAAATCCGTGTGGCCTGTCATATTCGAAAAGGGGCCATAACTCTTGTCAGTCTATCATGATAACTTTTGTTGGCCTTACTAGGGTGACAGTAGTGTCACTTTGGGCTTTTGTGGTATAATAATTGAATTTATGTTTTTTTAACCCATCCACCCACCACCCTAAAATTCATGTAACGTATATGTCAAACGGGGCCTAAGAGGGTTAAATATATATCTTCAAATGAAATAATTAATAAATATTGACCCAGATGGTCCAAAGAATGGAGTTTCGTGTATTTCTCTTCTAATTGACTGTGTTTGTCTGAAGTTGTACCTTTTAAATGAAAATGACTTAAAAAATCCCGACAGTTA